CCATAAGGCCCCCCCCCCCCCCTCCCCCGGGAAATCTTTCATTATGCTGAGGCCCTCTTCCCACTCCAACTCATAGAGTACTTTGTCATAGACGCCCCCCGCCCCCCCCCCCCCCCCCCCCCCCTCCCTCCCGAAACAAAATCCTGGCTACGTGCCTGCTTCTCGTCAAGGTTTAATTACCACAGTACAATTCTTTTTTGGGGTGTAGCCCGGGACCCAATAAAATGACTGAACAAATAAATCACGCAAACGAGTCGCCGAAGCAGCACGTTGTTCTTGGCAAGCGTCGAAGCAAATTCAACCGAAAACCGGCTTCAATATTGGCCGGATGTACGGTTTTGCGCCTCGTCCAGACATCCGGCAGGTATGGGTGTACCGATGCAAATAAACGATTTATGTCTAATAGCACTGGCACCACTGATCTCTTAGTAGGCTGTATCGCGGATAGAGGCCTGTATTGCTGGTGTCGAGCCGCACCACCGGCAGTCATCGCTTGACACGATCTAATGCGTGCTATAGGAGAAACAGGAAAACTCAATTTTATTACGTTAGTAGGTTGTTGTCGATCCTGAAACTTCAATCGTGTTTCCGCAAATACAGTTGATATTGTGGGCAAGAATATTAAACGTGTTGGAATACCAATCTTGTTTAAATAAATGCTGTGTGGTTGAGGGTCGAGGGCGACTTTGATGGGCGTTAACTGTGATGCGTTTAAGGACAAGGGCTGCCGAGAGTTATTGTGGAGTCATCCGTGATCTCGGAGTCATCAAAGCTCAGCAAACGATAAGTTAGAAGGCCTTTACTGGGGACATTCGCATCGTTTTAACCGCTTGTACATAGCACTTCACGGTGAAAGCGTTTTCTTCGAATTGCTCTGAGGGTTTCCGTGACAAACTAAAACTCGGAGCGTGCCGTTCAGTCACTGATCGTGCTATTTATTTAGCAACCGAAGCAAGCGACGTCGGTAAAGCCGGTGGTGCTCCGGCCCATTTTTGTTTTTAAATCGATGTTCGAAAGGCTGAGGAATGTCTATCTGATATCTAAGGACCCGATATATCATCGCAGCACGTCATAAAATGCTCGCCCTCGAGCACCGCGTACCAGCTTCCAATTTTTGCGTGTTTCTTCCTTATACTTGCGTGTATTGCCTCATGGTGTAATAGGCCAAAACAACAAGGACGAAAACGACGAGAGAACTAGACAGGACGCGGCGTATTGCCTGCTGTCAAGCAATGGCCGCCGGTGAGGCCAGTGACGGCTCCCGATCCGCGATCCAGACTTGCACTGTGAGAGTTCTAATGCATTACACGCGCGGAGTGCTGCACGCAGAACAGGCCCTGAACGAACTTGCCGAATGCACCGAGTGCAGACTGATGCTGTCGCCAAAGATGTAGAAAAGTACCGACCTCAAACCGAAACTAGCGCCTTTTTGTTCGACGTGATGGATGGGAATGCGAGAGTGCCCAGTCGCTGCCATCGTTTATCTATAAACGTTGGTTGCTGCAACGTGGGACTTGCATTTGCGATGACTTCCAATTAAGCAACTCGGCTGTCAGAGATATCTACGGACGGGGTAAGTTTCCGAAACCAGCTGACTACAAAACAGCATACACTTGAGAAAATTGATGGCACTGTACGAAGCATAATACTATGCTTCGTTTTAAGCATAGTATTATGAGTGAACCACTGAAAGATACGGCTTAAGTCTAGTTCTTTGGAACATCTAGCAATACGTTTCGTGATACTTATTATTTCCCTGGTGAGGGCATTGAGAACGAGAGCTTTTTCAAAACAAAATACGACCGGGCAAGATAGCTTCCGTTCAAATATGACTTCGCTTGAGCCTCGGGCAACGTCTCCATGTTTAACCTTCCCGGACGCTGTGTGGATGTGTCACAGGTTTCTGCTGTGGGAGCTTTGTCGAAAACAGTTCCACTTTTCACCCGCACACAGATGATGCGAGGTCTTGCGGCCTCTGTGTTTGTCCTGGGCCTTTCATTACACACTGGTAGGTTTCAGCGTCTGTACGGCAACAAAACGACTCAAATTTTGCAAATAAAACTCGGGTCGTCGATTCCTCCCTTCGTGAAATATCAGACGCTTACAATTCAAGCTCGCGTTTGAGTTTGTGACCCGCGGGACGCGATTTCGAGCAGAAAACCAACTTTTCCTCTCAGTTCTGCTGTGCGAATGCCGCATCGTAGCAGACGAACTCTCGTCGTCTGCTCTCGCTCCTTGCCTGGGCGAGGCATGACGGGATTGTCGGCGCTAGTGAGCTCAAAGACAACGTACAGCGAGCGGCGTGAACGCTCGCCTCCCCGCGCTGTCTCGTGCTCTCGTGCACCGCCTAGAGATCGCGGGGAATTTTTCGTCAAAAGTTGCGAAGTTGAGCGCCCGCAGGGAGGAGGAAACTTTGCGGCGTTCTTTTGGCCCCCCCCCCCCCCCCCCCCCCCCCCCCCCCGCTACGTCAGAAAGCGAAGAATGTTTTGCTCCACGAGTTTAGCTACCCTGCTCTACCGAACTGTATTTTAAGTCGCTTATGATCCCTTCCTAAGCTTTTCGTGCCTCCCTCATCTATTCTAATGTGTCCTAATCTGTTATACAATTTGTTGGACCTTAGACAATAACTAATTGTTAAGTGTTAATTGTTTCTCTTCCACTGTATTTTACCTCGTAGGAAACAGCGCGAAAACGGACGAGGACGTAGAAGAAACACACAGGACGAGCGACTCAAATATGTTCATAGGAAAACATGCGAAAATGACCATTCATCCTTAATAGCACGACCCCCCGCCTGCGTATCACGAGGCAATTCATAACATCGTGATGGCACGTGATAAACGCGAGAAATAGCGATATGACGCTAGCCAGATCTAAAAGCGCCACCTCACTATCTAGCAGTGCCAAAGACGGTTGGCTGACACTGGAGGCTCCCGTCTTTTGTTTTATTTGGTATGCCTCTGCTACCTCTCTAGACCAGTGGTTCTCAACCGTCGATGTTTCGCGGACCCCTTGTGGATCGGCGGAGGTGATGGAGGACCCCGTTCGTGGTGAGAGGAGAAGAAAGGTAGAGAATAAATATAAAAATGATTTAATAAATGGATATAACTAAGGGCTAGTGTGAAGTAGACCTCTCTTATTGACATACTTACGAGAAAACTGGCCGGGAAACTGAAACATTTCATCTCGATTTGAAAAAACACAACTTTTATTGCTGGACTTGACTGATGAGGCAGGGCCTCGCGGACCCCTAGAATGCCTTCGCGGACCCGAAAGGGTCCGCGGACCTTTATTTGAGAACCACTGCTCTAGACTTGGTCCTTGAGCTTGAACAATATTTCGCTGTCACTCAATCTTGGCTCACACTTACAGTCGCAGCAACGCATCGCAAGATGAGACTATGCACACCCCTTCAATAAACTATAATGCCCTCTTGTAAACGTTTTTTTTTTTAATTTCACTCATTTTGTCCGGTCAGCGCCGTTGCGTCTTTCCTAGTCAAGGGCAGCTCCTATTCGGGCTTCTTTTAATTCCCCCCGATTTGGATAAAACCGGCTCGGGTGTTAGTTTTCGGTGTTTATTGATTTACACTGAAAACAGAGAACCCTACTCACAATGTGTGAAGCGAATCCAGAAAGTATTGGGGAATTCCTTTGGTGAATTTGGAGCGAACCATAAGCGCCTTTAGTGCGGTAAATGCGAGCCCGCGCTTGCACGCGCTGGAGGATGTATCAACAAAAATCGCCCCAAGACCGCTCGAAATCCAAAAAGGATGGCTGCGCAATCGCTACCTATCCCCGCATTTACCCCTAAAAAATAAAAAAAAAGTTGCATTCTGTTATTGATTGTGCACGGCTGACATGCGCAGCCGCTGCCTAAAACCTCTGTAGCGCACTCGAGGACTCGAACCAGGTAGCGCGCCAGCAGTGGACTCGGAGCGTCTTCTGACGCAAGATTGTACTGGTTCATTTACGTGACTATATACAAGGAACCGTCAGCGTGACATCGTTCAAGCGTGTCAGTCGAATTGGATATGTTTGTGAGCACGCTGTACAACTTTATATTTTGACCTTTGCTCTAAGTGGAATAGTTATAAAGTTCATGAAGTATTCTGAAGATATTATTTCATCCGAAAACAAAAATAGCCTGAGTTGTTTTAAACTATAAGCGAACTAATTCCTTCAATTTCGTCTTCCTAAATTGCATCAAAATATTCTTAAACCTTGGCTGAAGTTCCGTGGAGCACTTTGTATACATTTGTCATGTGGATGACCCATGATCTCACTGTGTGACTTCCTCGTCCAATAGTACGGCTCTGCAGTAGTGGCACAGGTGCGCCCCTGTCGCGTGCCTGTTTTCGGCTTCCAATATCTTATTCTTTACTTCTTTGTGCCATTCGTTCACGAGCAGAGCCATATATTCTCTGAGAGTTGGACATTCTTTTTGAACATGCCGACAGTCTATCAACCACTACCCGAGATGTGGCTGCCGAATGTTTCCACCGCCGTTATGTGCGAATAATGCATGATCCACTTTGGATTAGCCACCCCACTCGATCAATTACAGGCGTAACAGAGTTCCGAGGAACGAGAAATATTGCTAGAAACCGCGAATTTAAATGGGCTAGCTCAGACTGGAGTGGAGAAACGAAAATGAATTCCCGTCTTGTGCTATCGCGAGGTCGAGTCGTTCTAGCTAGATTTAGCGGGTCACGAGCTCCACCCATCCGCCGAACCCACTCAGTATATACAACCATGTTCTGCACCGCATGTGCGGCATTAGTATTGCAGGGGGGAAACAACACGGAAAGATCCCTTTCTTTATTTACAGCACAACCATCGCCTTGACTGTCTGTCGAAAAATCCAGTTCTTGTACTCTCTGTGTTCTTTTCTCGTATTTTGTTGACATTATTTTTTCGACGCCACTAATACCTCAAACTTTAGCAATAAGATGAGCTCTTCTTGTACTGAGTGACTGAATCGTCGTGTCCACTGCGCAGAGGCCCCTGCGTGACCACCTAGCCGTGCGGTACCTGCTGTCCGAAGCCCGCCGTCACCAGGTGACCGAGAAGAGGCTGTGCCGTGCCCACATGGAGCTCCAGGGACAAACGGCCACGTACCTTTGCTACCTGGCCAGCACCCGAAAGGGACATGTGCGTCGCTACTCTCTCCACGCACGGAGCTTCGGACTCCCTCTCGGGGATCTGACCTCATTGACAACACTTGCCCATTCTATAGTAAACTTTAGCGGCAGGAACAAAGTGGTAAACTGGGCCTGCTGGTACTAACTAAAAACATAATTGATAAATATCAGCTTTAAAAAAATAAAAAAAAAAACGAAGAAAGGAACAAACACGCCAGGATGGAGCGGAACTTGCAACTAAATTTATTATTTATTTAATACTTATTTACCGACACCATAGCATTATGGAAACATTACTTGCACGCAAACAGATTCTGTGATTCGCTTGGAGGAGGTGATATGGTTACCGCATGAGAGATCAGATTGATAGTTGTGTCGCTGTGCAGATTCTTAGGCACTGCACTGTTCATTTCGGGTCATTCACAGCCGCAAACTCACGAGGGGCGGTTTGCTCATCTTGCGGCCGCGGCTGCGGCCAAGAGGGATTTTTATGCCACGTGACCAGCTCCATGGGGACAAGGTTGAAGGAAGTACTTAGCGCCCCTGCCTAATGGCGGAGAAATCCGTGCAACTTTGAGTAGAAACCTCCAATTTCGCTCGCAAAAACTGACTGCCGATGCTTTTAACTGGTGTCCGATTAACCGCCCCTTTATACTTTAGGAACGGCAGGTAAAGTTACGGCCAGGGAAGGTAAATATTAACCCCCCCCCCCCTCCACAAAAAAAAAAAAAAAGGAAATTTTGCGCGAGATAAAAGCGGTGGCAGTATATTTATAGGGAGTTTTAGAATAGCGCACGCTAAAGCTTTGCGTACGCAAAGAATAGCGTCGTCGCCACTGCGCATGCTCCGAACGCAAACCAGGTTTGGCGCTTTGTGTGCGCAATTTTAGCGTGCGCAATTTCTCGGAAATAGCGTGCGTACGCAAAGGGTCTTTGCGCTCCTCTCAGGAGGATTCGTGATGAGAAGTTGGCTAAAGCCAAGACGAGCACAGTTAAAAAAAATGGCGGCCCCCAGGATTATGGTTGCGGTCGCCTTGGCGGCGTCGTGAGCGCGACGTCGGCGGCATCCTCGCGACTGCGATTTTCAATACAGGACGATATTGCACTCGGTTTGGAAAACCCAGTAGGGTGGACAACGATCACCGGCAACTTGATGCTTGTGACGAGCGAACGTTTATCGGCGAAGGTTACACACTAAAATTTTCAACACCCATGTTCGTGTTAAAAGGGTATTTTTCCGAGCTCACACCCTTCCTACACCATTTTTACATGATTTTTGAATATTCAAGGGTGTACGGAAAGGCCTACACCCTTCGTACATCCTTTTTACACCCTACGGCTACCGAAATCGTGTTAAGAGGGTGTTGCGGTGGTACACCCATGATTTCCGAATCGTCGAACTCGGAAACCGCCGAATTGCAGACATACGCGCCGACAGCAGAAGTCAAGAAGCAGCCTGCTCAATTTAGAGGATTTCGTGAAGTTCAAGTAAGCACAATGGGCAGCTGACATCCAAGCCAAGCCAACGCTCAAGTTGTTTTCAAGCCAGATGAATGCCGGCATTGTGTACAAGCTCCTTGGTTGTTTACGTGCAAGCGACCACGAAAATAGCATCGGCTACTCACGCACTTCTGCTCAAAATGGTGAGACCACATCGGTTCTATTACGATACATTCCGTCGCGTCTTGAGGTGTACTAAAGCGAAGGCTAGACGTGCGAGACGGTTCGGGCTCACAGTTTTACTGTGAGCCTGTACCGTAAAGGTCGGTTCCGACACTTGCGTTTGAGTGTGTTTGTCTGCGTTGCGTTTAGAACCGAAAACGAGTCACCGGCACATCTGTGCTTCGTATGAAGCGTGGATTCCAATTCAAAGAATCATCTTGGCACGCGATATAAGCAGCAGGGAGGTCCTGGTTTCTCGCAGCCACAACGCGGTCATACGCAGCTGTTTGAACCAGGCTTTACGTGGTTGTCCTGTGCTTGTCCCTCGCGCTTTATTCTTTCGATTTTAAGTATTCATTTTCAACTCGCTCGCTTTTACCAGTACTAGTAGATACTCAGGCTGCACGAGGGTTCGTGCAGTGCGACCATCTAGCGATGCTATGAGCTTGTGCTCGAGCCTTGGCTTTAATGCATCTTAGTGGGGAAGGCAATCATCGGGGATATATGACACACGATGATGCCAAGTCTGTTCACGGCGGACTCTCGTGCTGTTCTGATTGGAGGAGAAGGGGCGTGTAAAAAATTGGCAAATGGAACATGGTTAGCGACAGCGCAAATATATGTTGCAAAAAGCTCAGAACGTTGAAGTGCAGCAGCCTGAAACTTTGCAGTTAAGCAATTAGAGAATCATTTGAAGCCGTCTTTAGAGGTTCAGCCTTCCCTCCCCCCACACCAATATCGAAGGCTGCTAGGATATTGGTTCAGGCTAAGCCCTCTGTCTTTCAGTCAGCGAACTCGAGCCGTTCCACCTGACCTTGTTATTTCATAACAGATATGTTAGAAAATGGAATGCAGATTTTCTTTACACGGCCAAAACATAAAGTGTTATCAAATAATACCTGCCATATTCATATTCTACATTTACAGTCCGGGGCTGCCCCGCCTGTGGAGGGTGAAGATGCGAGCAGCCTTGAAGCCCACCAACAGTGGCTGTGTGCTGAGAGCGAAAGCTGGTGCCTGACGAAGGCCAGATTGATCTTCGAAAGGATGCGACTGCCTGCAAATGGCTACATGCGTTGACATTGATGGGCATATAGACTGCACAGAATGCTTATCCCTACCTGATGGATGCTAGGAGGGTATGCGTTCCATATTTTTTTACTGATCTCTACGACAATTGCTAAATTGCGCTTCTTCGTTCCGTGATTGCGGCTGCCGGACGACCATCTTGGGACACGGAAAATTAACCTTTTGGAGCGTTGCAGAGGCTGGCCGGCAGCGTGCTGCAGACATGTTTTTTGCTCGTTTGTCGTCATTGGGAGCGTTAAAGTGGCCCTGCAATAACTTTTTGACTGGTTTTTAATTTGGACCGAACCTGAGCGCATTAAACGTAGTAATTTAAAGAAACTTTTCTTTTCTCAAATTTCGCTTTATTTTAAAAGTTATAGGCAAATTAGACTTACAAAAACAAGCAAAAAATAACATCCTTCATGACGTCGTAGGTCCTGGTTTGAGTGGCCGTGAAGTAGTGAGCTCATCGAGCGCTCACGGCTGCCGCACTTAGTGTCGACGGCTCGAGAGGGTGCCACTAAAGCACGTGTTGACTAGGCTGTATGAAGCGGGCGGCCAGGGCAGCTCGCATTGCATTTGCCGCGCGATTAAAGACTAATTCGGCATAACACTTCATTGGCCACAAACGACGGCAAACACGGGGTAAAGATCAGTTCAGAACTGGAGCCACTTTGCGCTGCCATACCGCCAAAGGGTCAAATCGCCAGCCAAGCCCGCGCCGAAAGCCTTGGGAACGCTCGGAACCGGTCGGATCCTCGAGCCGGTATACGACCGCAGCGCCACCGCGTACATCCGGGACCTTTCTAAGCCCATTCTTCGTCGGAGCCTCATCCCACTACGCCTTTCTAGTACAGTAAAACCTCGTTATAACAAAACGGGATATAACAAACTAATGGATATAACAAAGCAATCATAATTCCCTTTGCTTGCTAATAGTGGGAAGAAATGGACATTGGCTATAACAAACTAATGGTTATAACGAAATAATTACGACCACTCCTTCAACTTTGTTATAACGAGGTTTTACTGTATGCGCCGTTTTTTTCACCGCTTGGTGGCGGGTTTTTTGTCGTCGGGTCTTTTCTTGTTTCCGTACTTTATAAACTGCATTTGTTTCTTTTCTGATCTAAAATACTGAACAAAAACTACTTTCATACATAATTGAAACGGTTCGCGACACTTATATTTTGTATAGACTAAAAAAAATGCTTTTAGCGGCTCTGACCAGTAGTAAGCCCAGGACCAAAGACGTCACATATTCCGCGCTTTCGGCAACGCGGGTCGCCCTCGTAGGTGGAGGAGGTTTCCGCGTCGTCCGGTTAAAATATGACTCACTGATATTTAGTTATTCTCTCCGTGCCCGCTGGCTTACCCGAACCCAAAGAGACGTGGAAACCGCAAAAGAGGTAGACGCTTAAGTATGATTGCAGCTCCCCTTTAAGTCCACACTCCTTTACTCCTACTCTGACGCTCCGAGTTTCATACTCCAGGCACAGCAACTAAACGGCGCATGGCGTACAGGAGCGCGACACACCAAATCTATTGACGAGCCGCACAAGCTCCTTCCCACCGCACGGTTATGACGAACCTGGCATCCCGTGGATACGGGTGGGAGAAGCCAAAATTATTTCGGTGGTAAATTAATTAAAGCCAGTGTAGAGCGGCAGTGTACAAAGTAAAAGAGACGGCGACGTTATGAAGTTTCTACGAACGTTTAAGTATTTCTGAGAGGTTTGGAGTTTTCAGGCGAGATGCACGAACAAACCTTTCCCGCAATGCTAACTTATGCTTCGGCTTTCCAATCTAAGTATCTTTATTCGCTGCAGCTGGACTAAGCAGTTTAAAAAGGGCAGCCGTCCCACTGTCTTCTCGGCAACTTTTCTGTCGCCCAGCTATCAGCACGCTCGTTCGATAGATCACTTTGTTCTCAGGCAAGGCACATGAACAAACCTTTTCCGGAATGCTAATTGCTGTCTTGGCTCTCAAATCAAATTGTTTTTACCTGCTGGATTAACCACTAATGGACTGAAAAGGAGCAGCTGTCCGGCTACGCCTTTTGTTTCAACAATCTCAACAATGGTACAGCCATCTTGTTTGTGGACGTGTCATCACGGAGCGCAAAGAAGTCACTTGTGCTCCAAGAAATGCTCGGAGCACGAAGAGCACGCTCGAGTGTCAGTCTCCGGCGGCGCTCCCCTCTGTTTAGTGAAAGGAGCGCCAAACGCTCTCAATGTGTAAACAATAAAAATTTCCTTTGAAAACGCATAAAATTTTTTGC